CATTAATCTTATATTGGCTATGTCAATTTTTATTTTATTTTTTAAATTTTTTTTAACATTTATTTATTTTTGAGACAGAGAGAGACAGAGCATGAACAGGGGAGGGTCAGAGAAAGAGGGAGACACAGAATCTGAAACAGGCTCCAGGCTCTGAGCTGTCAGCACAGAGCCCGATGCGGGGCTCGAACCCACGGACCGCGAGATCATGACCTGAGCTGAAGTCAGACGCTTAACTGACTGAGCCACCCAGGTGCCCCGGCTATGCCAATTTTTAGTTGCCCTTGTGTGAGTAGCTTTAACAGAAATATAACTCAAGTGTTCTTAGCATTTTCTTTACTTTAAAAATAGCTACTGTGAGGAGTAAAAATGTGTTTTAAAAAGTTGCCAACATTAATGAAAGCTAAAAGAAAGCCTTCCTGTTAGTTTAAAGAAAAAAATAGTGAGATTCTTCTAAGGAAGTAAAAATATAAAGTTAATATTATCAGTTTAGTTGAGTTAAATTATTAGAAATATAATAAATGAGCAAACGGTATACTTTCCACTGTGTATATGAATTCTTCTACCAATTCTGAGTGTATACTATGCTTTCCATGCCTCAGCTTCTTTTGGAAGGTCACCTACAATCTTTTAAAAAAGATTTAATGTTTATTTATTTTTGAGAGTGAGACAGAGAGACAGAGCACAAGCGGGGAAGAGACAGAGAGGGAGACACAGAATCCAAAGCAGGCTCCAGGCTCTGAGCTGTCAGCACAGAGCCTGACACGAGGCTCGAACTCACAGACTGTGAGATCATAACCTGAGCTGAAGTTAGATGCTTAACCAACTGAGCCACCCAAGCACCCCAGAAAGTCACCTATATTCTCAGTGTGATTTATATGCATACCCCTTCCGGAAAGACCCAGAACTCTGAAAGCACTTCCATCACAATCCACTTCATATTGCTTCCTTCAACTTTATATCTCCAACGCAAGACATTATTGGCTAGAAGTAGATGCTGAATACATAATAAATACATTTATTGATGATTCATCAATAAAATAAATGTATTTTGAAGAAAAAGTACTATGACCTTTTGACCTGTTAATTTTTCCATGTTTAGAAATATGATTTAGAGGTGCCTGGCTGGCTCAGTTAGTTAAGAAATCAACTTTGGCTCAGGCCATGCTCTCACAGTCTGTGAATTCGAACCCCACGTTGGGCTCTGTGCTGTCAACTCAGAGCCTGGAGCCTGCTTCAGATTCTCTGTCTCCCTCTCTCTCTGCCCCTCCCCAATCTGTCTCTCTGTCTCTCTCTCAAAAATAAATACACATTTAAAAAATAGAAATCCGATTTAAAAAGCTACTGGAAAGCATCTAGTATGGTAAATCACAGAGCTGTGTCCTCTTGGGGTACAGAGGTGCAAAAGAAATGGTCTCTGCTTTCCAGTTTTTAATCTAATAGGACAACAGAGACATTGTGGACACATAGCTATGGTGTAAGACATTACATACTGTGTGGTGTGTGTGTCCCTCCTTCTCTCTTTCCTTCCTTCTTTCTTTCCTTCCTTCCTTCCTTCCTTCCTTCCTTCCTTCCTTCCTTCCTTTCTTCCTTCCTTCCTTCCTTCCCTCCCTCCCTCTTTCCTTTCTTCCTTCCCTCCCTCCCTCTTTCCTTCCTTCCTTCCTTCCTTCCTTTCTTGCTTATGGAGAGCATCACAATCAATGAGAGAAAATTTGAAGAAAGAAAAATCACTCTACTTATTGAGATAATCAAAGGGTGTCATTTAAGCATAAAGATTGCTCCAATAGAGGTAGGAGTGGAAAGAAGTAAGGGTTGGCATGAACAAAGCATTGTAGACAAAATAGGGGACACATGCTTCTGAAACAGTGAACAGCACAGTTTGACTGGAACTGATGTGTCAGAAAGATAACTGCTGTTAGGAGAACTGAGGAAAGAGCAATCCCATTTTTGAGAGCCTTAAGATTATAAGGTTAAATCTCCCTTCTGAATGCCTTACCCATGGATCCAACTAACTTCTAGAAATCTTTATGGGATGTTTCACTTCAAATTCATCATGCTCAAAAGACAAAGGAAGCTGATGACAATTTTTGAGGAGGTAATTATCTGGTGACTGATTCAATATGAGAGAAAGGAAGAATGTGGCAACTTTATTGTTAGAAAGTAATATTTGAAATTGAGAAGTCCCATGTGGGGTCTAAAATAAGGAAATATGAGGATAGCATGAGAAAGATTAGTATCCTCAGGAGACATCCAAGCACAGCAACAGAGCATGATGGATGAGCTCAGAAAGAGTTTGAAAAAGGTTTAATTGAAGGCAGTAGGGATGAGAGGTTTGTGGCCAGAGATCCAACTGGTTAATAGAGATATAAAAAAAGGGTGTTTTTCAGATGGGAGAGAAAGGTGCCTGGATGACGTAGTGAAGTGTTGTGTGGTGGGGGTGAGAAGATGAAAACACAGGTTCAGTGAGGGGATGCAAAATGTAAACACCCAAGTATAGTGAAGCACAGCATAGATCATTACTTAGTGTGTCATTTTGATTAGGAAAAATATAATTGCTTTAATGATTAGTGATAGAAAGGGAAAACAGAGTATAATCACTATGTTGCATTATTTAAAACTTTTTTGTAGCACAAAAGTGACTTTAAAATTATACTTATGGAGAACTAAATAAACATTCCTCCAAAAGGATATCAAAATGTCCAATAGGCACATTAAAAGATACTTGACATTACAAATCATCAAGGAAATGCAAATCAAAACCACAATGAGATATCATGTCACACCTCTTAGAATGGTTATCATCAAGAAGACAAGAGACCTGTTGGTGTCGGTGAGGATGTTGTGAAAAGGATCAGTTACACATTGTTGGTGGGAATGTAAATTGGTCCAACCACTATTGAAAACAATAGGGAGTTTCCTCAAAAAATTAAAAATAGATTTAGAATACAATCCAGCAATTCCACTTCTGGGTGTACCCAAAGAAAATGAATATGGGATTTTATGAGATATATGCACTCTCGTGTTTATTGCAGCGCTATTCACAAGTGAAAATGTGGAAACAACCCAAATGCCCATCAACGGATGAATGGATAAAAAATATGTGGTACATTTACACAATGTATTCCATTCCATTCAGCCGTAAGAAGGAAAGATAACCTTCCATTTGTGACAACATGGATGGACCTTAATTAAGCACATTGTGCTAAGCAAGGTAAGCAGAGAAAGGTAAGTACTGTGTAATTATCACTTATATGTGGAATCTTAAAAGTTAAACCTTTATAAAGGATAGTAAAATGGTTGTTACCAGGGGCTGGGAGGGGAGGCAAAGAGTGATGGTTTTAAGGGTACAAATCTGTAATGAGTAGTAAATAAGCCACAGACATCTAATGCACAGTATAATGAATATAAGTAATAATATTGTACTATAATTATGCAATATGATAAATATCTCTACATGAGCTATCATTACAATATATAAATATATTGAAGGAATGGCATGCTGTACACTTTAAACGTATACAATGTTCCATGTCAAAGTTATTCAATTAAAAATGGTCCTATGGAAAAATGTATAGAAAAATAAGGAAAGGAATATGAATGAGGTAAACTACACACCAGCAAAGGTTGGGTTCCTTCTAGTAATTGTAATTGTTTAAATTCAGTATTTGCTTCACCAAGGTGAAGCTTATAGTAGTTTTTAACTTATTTTCTTGAAAATGAGGACACATCTTGAAAAGAACTGCAATCCTTCAAATCATACTTGCTATTTAAATTTTACATGACCTCTCCACAGAGCAGTAGTGAGAAATTAAATATACATTTTTCTCACAACTGCACATGTAAATACATACATTTAATACATTAAATAGAAGTAGAAGCATAGTCTTATGAATAATCTGAAACAAACCAATATTGATGACATTTTCATAAATCATTCTTTTGTTCATTAATTAATTATCTGTGAGTTATCATTAGTCACATAAAATTTCTTTTGCCCTTCAGCATAAGATAGAAATATTACTATTCTGCCAAAATGCCTGTTACATACAGTGAAACTTCCAAAAAGTCGAGAAGCTCATAATTTATAGAACAAACTTTATGATGTGCCTGAAAGACCTCCACATTCCTCTCATATTGCCTTATGCCTACAACATTTTGTGGGACTCCACTCTTAGCCTCTTTCTTAAGGCATCCTTAATTCCCTTTTAGATTCATATTTTCAATTTATTTACCATTACCACCATCATCCATATTTTCCTGCCCTGGGTCCAATAACTTAGAGTAGCCTGCAAGATGACAATTATACAACATTCTTTCTCCCATGTCTTCCATGGAACAATTATTTATTAGTTTTCTCCTACATTCCTTATACTCTCCTTGTCCTATAAATATCTATTAAACAGTGATATTTGCTAGACTTTGTATTTGTGGCTTCTATGCCATAGTTTTCTTGGCTGACCATTTCATTTCTATGCTTCCACTCCCACCTCTGTTCTTATGGCCCTCAATTTTATAGAGCTCTCTCCTGAGCTCTAACATATATTGCAAACCACTTACTAATCATCTTTCTTAGATATCTATAAGGCCCTTCTAATTTAACATGCCCATCATTGAACCAAGTGTGTTTCTTCACAACACCTTTCCTCTTCCTCTCCTTTACTGACTGATCCTTCCCTTTTTTCTCCGTTTACTTCCACAGATATGGAATACCAGGGGATATGATAAGAAATAAGTTAAACATAGTTCGTGCCTCATCGGGGTAACAGTCAAACGGGATAAAATGATTCTCTGATAAATATGGTGGTCAGATGATAAAGAAAATTGACATAATGTGAACGTGAAAAGATAAGCTGTTGTAATAACAGTGTTGATGATATTCTCTATCAATTTGGCAGTAGCTTGTGGTTACTGACATTTTGAATGTTAAAATGCCTTCATAACCAAATCTCTTTCCCAGTAGAATACTGATAGCGCCTCCCTTCACCCTACCCCTACCTTCTTACCTCTAAGTATTGGACAGAGATGTCAACAGAAAATTGTATTAGATGTCCTCCTTCCGCATTCTACAAAATTATGAAGGACATGCAGTTGGTCCAAAAGGTCTCTAAAGTAAAAAACAAAACAAAACAAAACAAAACCAATTAAAAGTACAAAGTTAGAGTGAGCAGGAAAATCCACCTCTTGCGAAAGTTTTCTACTAAAGCTCTACATTAGTATTGGTTAAATGAGAATTACTGGTTGTTTATGTACCTGATTGAAATGTTTGCCAGTTGATGCTTTTGTAGAGCAAACGTAGGCAGCCACTGTACTGCCACATTTAATTAATTTTTTTAATTGGGACAAATTTTTGAAACACTAAACTTTGAAAGTATCCCGTTTGTTTTCTACCACACCATTAGCCCTTAGGCTTTACTCAAAGATGAGGAAATAGCTTTAAACCTTTAAGGGTAGGTCAGTCCTCATTCCTCCTCATTTGTCAAGGGATTTGTGTTGATTAGAATATGTGGACTGTGATAAACTGAGAATAGCTTAAGGGCAAAAACCTTCTGGAACATGCTGGTTGCCTAAGAACTAGAGATTACATCATTTTTATTCTTCTCTCTCTCTCTCTCTCTCTCTCTCTCTCTCTCTCTTTGCCAGGATGCTGAAGCCAAGCACTAAATGAAAGCACATTCACTATCCTTTAAATGTGCTTTAAATTAACTATGTTAGATTAGGTTTGTAATCAATTCACTTCTAAGGATTTCAATGTTAATGTGCTTTCAAACCAAGTGGGATTGTCCCTGATAGGGTAAATTTGCTATCAGTTTGATACCCCAGGCAAGTTGATGTAATAATGTATGTATCTTGAGGCATTTCACTCACTACTGCTAGAGTCCCCATCATTGGCTTAATTGGATTAATCTCAGGAAAAGCAGAGATTAAAGTAATTTGGTTTTTGTTTTAACTTTAGTTCTCTGATTAGGTAAGATTTTTCTGAGTCTGCAGGCCCATAAAAGAGCTTCATGCTTTCTGTCCAGATGTGAGATGCAATGAAAAGTTTCAGTGAGGATTTGATGGTTTGTCCCTCTTCCCCAATACAATTCATTCTTTCTTCGTATGTAACAACCATTCTGAAGCTATTGGTTTTTTCTTGTCTATGTATGTATCCATGAACAATACACAGTATGTGTTTCAAAGTTAAACAGATATCATAATGAACATAATTTTGTACAAAATTGTTATTGAGATTTACATGTACTGATATAGAGATCTAGTGTGTTACTTACATTTTCCATTTTACAAATATACCATTATTCCATTATCCATTTCCCTATTTGTGAACAGTTAGGTTGTCTCCAATTCTGTGCAAACACTGTTAACATGAACAACCTTCTACATGTCTCCTTGTACACATATGCAATACTTTTTGGAAAGTGTATACAGTCCCCAGAAATGAAGTTGCCATGTACATTTGTATCTTTACCTTTTTTGCTCTTTGTTTTCATGGGCTATGTTTTTTAGGCCTCCATTTTCAGAAATATCCTCCTAGTGTTTGGTTTCTTTGACCAGATTACATAAGTTCTTGTTATTCCTTGTTTGTTTTTAATAAAGGTCTGTTTTGTTTTCATTACTCTTCCTGTTCAGGTTTTTTGTTGTTGTTTGTTTTGTTTTGTTTTGACTGATATTTGACTGACACATTTTTGCCACCATTTGCTTTCAACATATCTGCCTCATTATGTTTGAATGTGACATTTATAAACAGCATAATGATGGATTTTTAAAAATCCTACTTGGGAATTCTTGTCTTTTAAGGGACCAATCATTTTTTTTTGTTTGTTTGTTTATTTATTTTTGAGACAGAGAGAGACAGAGCATGCGGGGGAGAGTCAGAGAGAGGGAGACACAGAATCTGAAACAGGCTCTAGGCTCTGAGCTGTTAGCACAGAGCCCGACGCAGGGCTTGAACTCACTGACTGCGAAATCATGACCTGAGCCGAAGTTAGCCACTTAACCGACTGAGCCACCCAGGTGCCCCAGGACCAATCATTTTTATTTAATTCACTTACATTTATCATTTTTACTGATATACTTCATATTAATTCTACTATTTTATTTTCTATCTTTTACTTATTGAGAGTTTTCTTTGCTACGTCTTAGTCTTTCTATTCTTCTATGAAATTTAACAACTTTTATTTATTTCATTTTTCCTTTTGTACTAATTATGAGGCTATACAATCCATTTCTACTTGATAGTGAGTCTATTTTCCAATCCATATAATTGAATTAAATCTAAAATTTACCAATATTTCTACCCTTCTTATGGAGAACACATGGACCTTAGAACATGTTACCTCTGACTATACCCCTCTCATTTTAGAAAGTATTTTTTCTCTTGTGATATTTTAGATCCATATTTTTTTTATATCCATGTTTTTAATGATCCTCAATTACTTGTAAATTTCATTCACCTGTATTTTTCATAATTGACTTATCATTGTTTATGTGTAACACTGTCATTTGGGGTTCGCTTTCTTTTTTGCAGAAATATGTTTAGTTGTTATGAAACTGAATTTTGTATGAGTGGAAAATACCTGGCCTGTTATTATTTTTTGGGCCTGAGATTACACCTTGTCCTCGGTTTTTATGACAATATCTGGGTTATTGATTCTACACCGATAGCTGAATCACATTGAAGATAATACTACATTGGCCCTTATTGTTATTTTCTGGAAGAATCGTCTCAATACAATGGCGGCTTCTTTGAAGGTAATCTGTGTTTTTGTTATTGTTGATATTCTTCTTTCCTACACTGTTTTTCAGTTTCACTACAATGCATTTAGTTCTTAGTTTATTTATTTTATTGAAACTTATGGTTTTCTGGTATTTATGACTTTCAACATTTCTGGCAAATTCTCAGTAATTTTCTCATTAAATAATTCTTCTTCCTATTTCTTTTCTTTCTCCTTGGATCACATATTTAATCTATGTAGCAATTTCTCATTCTCGTTTCCACATTTTAATTAATCTTTCATATTTTTCATCTATGTTTCTTTGTGCTGATTTATGGATGATTTTCTCAGCTCCAACTTTTGCCCACTGAGTGTTTAATTGCAATGGTATTTTTCATTTCTACAAGTTCATTTTGATTCTTTTCTATACTTGGTTTTTCCTTTAAAAAATTCTTTATCATTTTTAATCCTTCTTTCATGTCTTCAGTTTCTTTAAATATACACGTTTTGTAATCTTTTTCAGAATTACTCTTATATGAAATTGTTGAGAATGAACCTATACCTTATTATGCATGCTCCCTCTCACTCCTTTGGATGTTTTTGCTTGTGTGATTCTAGCTGTTTTCTTTTGAGCTAATTTTAGTTGTCTTTTTTTTTTTTAAGTTATAAAGTGAATTTGCATTTTTAAAAATTCTAATGAATAATCTAGGGTTTTCACTGACCTAGGACTTGTCTGAAAGATAAATTATCATTTTATGAATTTGGTTTCCATGCCCTTGTATAAATTTGGAAACTACTCTTGTGTCTGGGATAATCTTAGTTTGATGAAATTTCTTTTCCCCACATGGAGTCTGGGGCAGAGACAAGTCCCCAGAGATAATAAAAGGATTTTTTTTTTTTTTAATTTTAAGGATAGGATGTTTTTCTTAACTTTAAGTTTCTCTGGCATGCTCAGATCAAAGTTTACATATCCCCTTCCCAAGTGGGATTCCCAGGTTCATAAAGCCTATATCCAGATCTCAAATAATCTTTATAAAACATGATGATCATCTTACCACAAAGTTTCAACCTATGTTTAAACATTTCAGCAAGCTTCCTGTTATTTTTCTGAAAGCTAAATATGTTCAACTTTGCGTATGAATTTTTTCTAGGTCTTACTTCTACTTATTCCTTCTTCCTGGTATCTTTTTATTTCTACCTTCACACTCTATTTTCCAGTTACACTTGACTTCTTTTAGTTTCTTGAATATGCCATGCTCTTTCTTGCTTCTGGGTCTTAATCAGCTCTTTCTACTTCATAGGCTATACCTTTCCCCTTCCCTTCCTAAGATAACTCTTTTTTCTTTCTTTTAGATTCTCCCTAACTATGCCATAACTATATGCCTAACTATAGCATGGAGTTTTCATAACCCATGTGCTTCTTTATCTTAAAATTTACCATCTACTATTGAAATATCCTATTTGTTTGTCTTCTTTTCTAGACTATACACTCAATGAGGGCAGGAAAAATAGCTACCATATTTACTACTGTATATCTAATGCCAATAAAGTTTCCATACATAGTAAATATTCAATTCTTATTTGTTTTATAAAACAAAAAAATGTATACATTGAATAAATGAATAAATAATGGCTTTAATTTTTTTTTTTGTTTTGGTTTTCATTGTCCCATTATAATACTGTTGAATCTGGTTAACTTGCAATTAACTAAACTTCAATCTAATTTTATATACAAAGTTGCTTGCTTTATCCTATATATGAAATATGTTATAGAAATATACATGGATTTGCATTTAGAAATATATTATCTAGGGGTGCCTGGGTAGCTTAGTTGGTTAAGCGTCTGACTTTAGCTCAGGTCATGATCTCACGGTTTGTGGGCTCAAATCCCGCACCAGGCTCTGTGCTGATAGCTCAGAGCCTGGAGCCTGCTTCAGATTCTGTGTCTCCCTCCTCTGCCCCTCTCCTGCTCATGCTCTGTCTCTCTCTCACAAAAACAAATAAACATTAAAAAAATTAAAAAAAGAAGAAACGTATTATCTATAGCTACCTGAAGTTAATTCAGTTCTCACTAATTCCACTAAAGTGATTTGTTCTGGTGGTTATAATTTAATTTCATATACATTCTTTTCTTTTTAATGTTTATTTATATTTGAGAGAAAAAGAGACAAAGTGCCAGCAGGGAAAGGGCAGAAAGAGAGGGAGACACAGAATCCAAAGCAGACTCCAGAGCCTCGAACTCATGAACTGCAAGATCATGACCTGAGCTAAAGTCAGAGGCTTAACCAACTGAGCCACTCAGGCATTCTTCATATAAATTCTCAAGGATCCTTAAACTATACAATCTGCCTGGTTCATTGGCCAAACTTTGGGCTAATCCTATGCTCTTATC